TAGCTCATTTCCTTCTGGAGGAGCAACTGAGAGTGAACCAGTTCTGGTTCTGTGCCAAACACAGCTGTCCTTTGCTTCCCATCCCTCCTCACATCCCTCACCTCCATCAAATTTTGGAGTTTTAAGTCAATAAATAAGTTTTAAGTCARTAAAAGTACTGCAAACAAAACCAGKTGGTGAGGGAGCAAAAAWCCCCAAACACAGGGTGCTGCTGCCCCTTTTCAGGTTTGAGATATTCCTTCCCCAAATGTTCCTAACAAATGGAGAAGAACATGCTGCAGCTCCCAGGATGAGATGCATCAGCAGCACAGAAGTACAAAATACACAGAAAAAAAAAATTAAATGCAAAAAGTGGTGGGTTTTTTTTACAGAAATGCCCATTTCTACAGGCAGGGCTGGGTTGGGCCTGCTCCTCTGGGCACATCACGTGGGTTTCAAGCATGGAAAAACAGCACCCAAGCCTTGTTAAACGAGGCTTAGAAATGTGCAGAGCTCAGGTTTTGCAGCAGAGAGACAGTGCTGGTGTTTCCTGGGCTGACTGACRGGCTCCTCTGCGTTTCCAGCTGACGAGCAGATCCTGAAATGGAAAAATTACAACATTTCCTTGTGAGACTGAAGAACAGCAGGAAATGTTTGAACCTTTGGAGTGATGCTCTGCCCCAAAAGCTGGTCTGATAGTGCCAACTTTGTACCAAAAAAAGAAAAAAAAAAAGAAAAAAAAAAAATCAAATAAAAGTTTATTCATCCCGTATTTTATATTTTATCCTAAAACTTCCTCCAGATCTGCTCCCACACACCTGCTGACGGTGGCAGCAGCACCTTCATCCTCACTCCACTGAAGCACATGATTGGAGGACCTTCTCCTCTCCATTATGCTATTGAGAAAAGTGCAAAACTCATTATTCCAGGATATGAATTATAATAAAACCTTCTCGGGATGCCCTTGATGCCTTCCTGAAAGGTGAATGCCAGTTAGCACAGCTCTGCATTCCCGCTGAGTRCATTCAATTCTTGCAGGTGAAGAATGCATTAAAAATCTCCTGAAGCCTTCCTGCTGCAATGAAGCAGCTGAAAAATTTTTTAAAAAAAAGGATTTTTCAGCAATATCAGCTGCCAGATGTGTCTGCTGGCTTTTAATAAGGCCTCAGTTTGGCTGTTGCAGGTATCAGGAGGGTGAATTTGTGTTCACCTGCAGAACTTTCTCCGTGGACAGAGAATTAATCACAGAACACTGAATATTGGTGATGAGGAGAGAGGAGGAAGAAGGGGTTTTCCTTCACAAACAAAGCCYATTTGTTACATTCCTATAAAATGAACACGTGTAGATTTCAGTCTTTAAGCATGAGTGTAGTTTTCCCTAAATAAGAGGGGAAAAAAACCCAAAAAAATGAGTGTTATTTGGGTCTTGTGKGTCAGGTATTTGTAAAAACAATATTCTGGTGATCTTTAATGAACAGGAGTAGGAAGTCTGTGTGCTGGGAGGTTTTGTGCTGTTAACAGGGTGAGTAAAGAGTGTGAGAGATGTTAACAATTTATACATAGGGTGATAGTTCCATCCAGGAGAGGATCACACGAAAACAGTGAGCAATTTGAATTCAGAGTGTTTGCAGTTCAGCTTCATCTTATTTTGGTGTCAGACTTAGAGGGCTGATGGTCCATGTTGTCCAAAAGTCCCAGGGAAAGCCAAGGGCAGCCCAGCCTTGGTGTGAAACCCAAAAAATCCCCACAGATCACAGCCTAGAGCGGGCTGTGAGTGCCACTTAAATCAGATTCCCAAATAAATGGCATCAAATGAAAAAATAAAAACCAAAAAAAAAAAAACCAAACAAAATCCCCAAATCAAACAAAAAAGAAACTTGCCGATTACAGCCGAGGCTTTTGAAGATTACATCAAGTCAAACTTTTATTAGCAAAGTTGTATTTCATGTAAAATGAAAATATCTTCTCAAACCATACGTGCACATCTGCGTGGTACAAACAGCAACTACGGGTACAACACGTTTTTTTCTAAACTTTAATCAATGCACACTAACATTTAGCTCCCCAAAAAGTAACATTGTGATGGTGACACCACATTTTGCTTTGATCTTTTTCTCATGAAATTACAAAGTCTCTTGTTTAAAGTCAGAACCGTAATAATAATAATAATAATAATAAAAAATAAAAATAAAAAAAAGGAACAGACAGAATGCTTTGGCTCAAACCCCCCGAGGGGTTCCTGCCTGAAAACAGAACAAATCAGTGCAGATCACTTGAGATTTGACACGAGAGATCCAGAGCTGCAATGTAAACATGTGCTGCTGCTCCAGCACGGTTTGTATTTTGTCATAAACGCTGACAGGCACAGCTGAGGGCGTGATCCGTTGGCAAACAAAGGGAATTCTCCAGGAAGAATTTCCTTTCTTTGCATCTGTTCTTACAGGTGAGGAAAGTAACCCGAATGCACCTCTCATCTGCAAAGGAATGGCTGTGAAAAGTGATGATGAGGTTTCCTGCCACAAGCTCAAGGAGCAGTGAGTGTTATTCTACTTTTTTCTTTACAAAATGTGGAATTGCTGTTTAAAACCCCCACCTTTTTTATGCAGAAAGATTGTGCTGCTATTTGTTTGCATCTCAAAAAATAATATTGGCCTGAAAGCTTTGATAAAAACCTCTCATGCACTGGGTTGGAGCCATTCAGTCGATGGAAGCAGTTACTGGGAACAGAGCTACTCATTGGAATTTGTGCAAACATCAACACCACCGAACAAATATCAATCATTAAATGATCTGCTAATTACATCCATTTAAGATGTGAGTTACAATGAAGGCTTTTAAATTTTTTATACATGAACAYAGAATTTTTTCCAGAGGGGGAACAGCATTTTCTGATTTGGTCCCTAAATCAATTTTTGCTAAAGATACAGCCCCAGCAGGGCTTTGAAGCCCAAAATAAAATAATATTACAAAATTTGATGCCCTATTATAAAATAATACTTTTATACCACTGGAGGGCAGAGCCATGAGGATTTCKGGAGGATTTGGACCCCCAAATTTTRCCAGAGAAGGAAGCTGGAGCCATTCCTACAAGTTCTTGATTGCATAATTACATTAGATATATATTTATATATTAATTATAGAAAAATCAATCCACACCAAATTAATATTATGCTGCCCTGTGAATCCAAACAGCTCCCTTGGGGGAAAGGACAGAGCTTTTGGGTTTTTTTTTTCCTATCATTTTTCAGGAAGAGCTGATTTTGTTTAATCTTATGCACACCACACATTTCCAGCAGCTAATTTTAATAAATGTAATACATTTTAAATTTTAATAAACACTCTTTGCCAGAGGAAAGAACAAACCCAAACAAACCAACCCAAAGGATTTAATACTCAATGAGCTATTTCAGAACAAGGTGTGATTTTTGGGGCTGTCCTATGCAGGGCCAGGAGCTGGATTTTGATGACCTTATTATTTTGATGACCTTATTATTTTGATGACCCTTCCAGCTCAGGAAGCTTTATAAACTGCAGAACAGTTGGTGACACTTTTACTGAGCTCCGTGGCCACTCTTTGCCTCATCTGTCAGAGAGAGACAAAAACCCAGCCCAGCTCCTTGCAGTGACAAAAAATTCCTCAGGAAAACCTCAGCTTGCTCTGTTAATTTACTTTTGAAAGCAAATCTCTAAAAAAAAAAAATCAATGTCCTGCACTTTCCAAGGTAGTTTTACCAAATAAAGTGAAATCCCAGTGAGGGGGAAAAAGAAATTATCAGGGAAGAAAAAACAGCTCAGGTGAGTGAGATGATCCTGAACCATTTGTTTAATATTCATGGTGYGTATTCTCAAAAATTTATGCTCAAAAATCAAGGTTTTGTTGCTCATCTTTCCCTCACTGTTTGATTTTCAGGTCCTGAGGCATCGTGGAACACCAACATGAAGAATTTAAGGGCGTGAATGAAAATTTGAGTGGAAAAAGCAGCGCTGCCTGCACAGCTGAGCACAGGGATGGCACAAACACCTCTGAGCACAGCACAGCAAGTGCTGCCCCAGGATTTATATCCATTATTGGGGCCTTTGACASGCACTGATGTGCTCTGCAATTTGTTTCTGTTTAATAAAGGTGTTTTCTGGGATGAGGGGTCAGCTTTATCTGCAGTCACCCCAGTAAAACTTTGGGGTGTGTGCAGGCAGAGCCATCCCCCAGTCCACAGGGAGGGTTTAGGGGAGCCCACCCCAATTTAATTCCCTAATTTTGTTTTTAGGGGAGCCCAACACAATTTTATTCCCAAATTTTGTTCCTATTTCAAAGATTCTCACTCACTGCAGATGGCTCCTAAAGGAAACACATTAAACCCAGCCCAGATTGTCACAATCAGTTCTTAGATTTTATCTGGTTCGGGCTGCAGCAGACACGAGTCAGCAGATAAAGACGCTGCTGGGAAATGTCTCTGTTGRTGAGATGCCAATTTTCACATTGCTCTAATTGTGTGCTTCCTTCGTTGGAGAATTACTTTTTTCCCCAAAAAAAATTAAAAGGTTTTCGGACTTTTTCAACTTTTGGATTGAGTGAAATACAGAAAATAAAACTTTCTAAAGAATAAAGAGTGAATGCCTTGGGGGATGATGATTTTTGATTGAGGGCAGCTTTCCACTCATCATTTTCCACTCACAGGCACAGCCTGAATGGAGGTTTTGGGGAGGCTGTTTGGGRTTTGCTTTTCCCAAATAGAGTTTACATGGAAAGCCTTTAAAAACTACAATTAAAAACCCCAAAAAGAGGCACAGATATGCAGAAGMACCGAGCACCAAAGGCTTCCAGAAACTGCCAAAGGGGAGCCGCGTGTGATCCACAGCTTTTCCACTGGGAAAACCTGAATTTCCCTGGGCTTAGCCCTCGATGGAAATTCATAACCTCATGAGTAAGTCCTGCTTCTTCTTTCTTCCATTAAAATCATGGAGCCTGTGAAGGAGCCATTGGGGATATTTGCCTGATTGCTGTCAGGATGCAGAGAAGCTTTTAGGATCTATTCCTCCTGCAGGAGCTACTTAAAAACCATTAGGGATGGGAGTGACAGAAAAAATGAAACCACATTGATACCCTACTCAAACAAGCAGATTCAGAAATACAAATGCTATTAAAGAGATTCAGGAGATTCCAATACAAAAAGACCAAAAAAATGTGCTGTACAGCTCGGCTGAGTTAGTGTGGGAGAGGCAAAGAACCAGATTTAAACCAGCATTCAGTCAAAAAAGTATAAAAAGAAACTCTACCATAATATTTTCTCTTAGCTTTCGCTTTTGTTTATTTAACAGTGAATAGATTGAAAATAAATGAACTCTTGGAAGCCAGGTAGGTCCAGTTTAGGTGATGTCTGAACAGTGCGAGATCTGGGTGATTCCTATGCACACAACTCCTGCTGAAAACTAATTTTGCTGGTCCAAATCTGTCTTGAGAAGCAATTCTATCCGTTCCTACACAKCTATACAGACCCATGCTAGCAACACATCCCGGTTCAAAATAAACCCAGGCTGCTCTGGACTCAATATTAATATCATATGTACAACATCTCCGTGAAATGTTTGCTAGCTCACAAATATACAGATATGAGACAGACACCAAGGAGTTTGCTTCGAAAGGCAGCTTGCAGCCGGGGGAAAACAAATCAAAATGTTGCGAGTGATGGTGGATGGGAACCCTGTTTTGCCTTGCCACAGGAAAGAGCTGCAGCTTAACTTTTTTTTTTAAGGAAATAGTGCCAGCTACTGGGCAGCAGCATCACCCACACTTTGCTGCGGGTAAAGCTGCGTCTCGAAGTGTTGAAAATTGAAGTCAGCTGTAACCACTAAAACAAGTTTGTTTGTTTTTTTTTTAATATTATAAGCAAAGGGGTTTAATTCTTTAGGAAAAATTATACAATGTATAGAATATATTTCTCTGGTATTTTAAATGATGGTTTTCCTCGTTGTGTCACTTTGCAGAGTAGCCTGCTGGTTTTAATTATATAATTACATAGTGAAATATATAATTATTTAATTGATTTATTGAGGTTYTAACCGAGGCCATGAGGGAATTCTAACATGTGTGACAACAGCCACACAAGGGAAAAAAATACTCCAGAGAAATATATTCTAAACCTAAGAAACACCTGGAGCAGCAGGTGATGATCCAGATGTAACACAGAGAAACTCTGGTTTGGTCAGRTTAACACATTGTGCAGAGTAAAGGATTCTTTTGCTTTATTTAGAAGAAAACACATAGAAATCAGGACGCAAAAACCATCTTTTAGTGGCAGTGACTCGTTTTCTTATTACCTGGGTGTCAGGATTTYCCTGACTGGCTCAATTGGCAACCTGCTGCCGAGCACACGTGGAGAACTAACCAGGATAAATATCACAACTGCACACCAACCATTGCTTTAGGCGTGGAGAGGAAAAGTCGCCGTAGAACTCCCAGTGCTTTCCACTGATCCTTTCTCCTTAGATCCAGAGTAAGCTCCAATAAATGAACCATCTTCATTGAACATGCCATGCTCCCCTTCGCCATAATCTACCAGACTATCAGCACTTCCCGTGGCTTTAATGTCCCCGTTAAGTGACTGGAGGCTGCCCTTCAGCGGCTTTTCATCGCTGTCACTACAAAATAAAGAAAYGCCTTTCCAAAAAACCGGCTGGGGCTCGGCGGGATGGGAACCGCTCCCGGGAGGGGAAGGGGAGAGGGAGGGACAAGGGTGGGTGGCACAGAGAAAATGATCTGAGCTGTGTTCCTGCCCTRCTGTGCCTCACACGGGTGATGTGCACACACCTGAACCCCCCCAGGCTGGGTTGGGTCGTTATTCCAACAAATTAATTGGAATTATSAGTGAAAACGATAATTTGGTTTGGCTTTTTCCCTTTTCGCCTCGGGCAGACAGAAGGGGCAGAAAGGGAAGGGGAAGGAGAAGGRAATGTGGAAAGGATTGGAAGGGTCTGTCACAGCCACCAGGGCTGATGTCAAGTGTTGGGCACCTCACAGAGAGACAATTTTCATTTTACACAACACTAGACAACATCCAGGGCCTATTTATTTCATTTTCCTTTTGAGGTGGGTGAAGAGACACAAAATGGGATGAGGCATCAGCTGGAGATCACAYCCCACTGCTTTGGGAGCACCTCTTTGAGTTCAGATGTCCAATCAAGGTGGTTTTTCCCTTTTTTCTGCTGTTATTTTATTTTACTTTAGTAAATAATTTACATTTTATCTCACTGGAATTTGCCTCTGCTAAAGGGGAGGAACTGGGAAAAACCAAAGCAGAATAAATGTCTGCACCTGCAGTCTSTGTTCAGTGAAAATTCCAGGAAAAAGGACAGACCCAGCACCAAAATTCAGGGAAAAAGGGGAATTTCACTGGGCATTCCTCCTCAYGGCACCACAGAAGAGGAAGAAGAACAATGTGTGTGGGGATTGGGAAAACATTAAAAGATTCCATAAAAAAATTAAATCAGGCCTCTGGATTAAGGACATAATTACTCAATTACAGCTTTTGCTGCTGATGCCAACTCAGTGCCAAATCTTTGACAATGTTATCTCAGGAAGGACTGAGAAACGATCCTGAACTTCACTTCTTCAGGATGAACTCCATATGTCCATAATCAACAGAAAAAAAATTGCTACTTTTCTGCACAGGGCATTTCTCCTCAGAAAAAAAAAAGACGAGTTTGGATTCGAGGGGGAAAGGAGGGGGTCAAAGTTATGAACCTCAGGGCTTTCTTACCTTTCTAAATATTTGTCCCATTAGAAAGCATTAAAAATTAAATAAAGATGAAATTATGCAGAAAAAAAAAAAAAAAAGCCCTACTCCAGTACAAATAATGTAGTATATATATATATATATAAGTGGAATTTCAAYAGCAATTTCATGCCCTTAAGGCCAGTAACACCAGTWCTWCCATCATGGTTCTCAGAATTATGGATTTTCCTTCAGATCACAATTACATATTGCTCTAAGTTTCATTATTTTAAAGCAGCCAAAGTGGTTATTTCAATTCCCCTACAGATGTTTCTGTAGCAAGGTTTGTTTGGGTTTTTGGTGCTTTTTATTGTATTCCAAACTTTTCTTTGTTTTCTTCCCCAAAATGACCATTCCCYATATTCCATGATTCGGGTCTGAGTTTCAAAAACCCACTGAAGACATAACATTCAATGGGCTTTTCAGCAGGACCCCAAATGATCATATATATTTACATTATTCATACAATGCTAAATAAAAAAAAAAAGAAAATAAATTGAAAAATAACCACCAATACATCAGCATTTCCTTATATCCCAGCTTGGATGGATCAAAATATCCTGGATATACCTTGATATTCCTACTCTTATCCACTCCTACGAGGTTTGCTTTGAAAATGAAAAACAGCATTAATTGCATGCCATAAAAATGTCCCAAATAATGATGGCATTTGAAAACAAACAAAACCCCAAGAAACGCAAAGGCTCGTGAAAGCAGGTCCTATTTACCTATATTCCCCAAAGATTTCATCTTTTATTGATTGAGCTTCGGGATCTGGATGCAAATCTTCTTTTTCTTTCACTGTGCAAATAAAATAAAGGACAGGTCTCTGAGTCGTGTTCTGCYGTGGGTTTTTCTTTATCCCAGGGAAAATGGGAAAAGCACCTGACATTTCCTACAGCCTGGCCTGGAGCTGGCTGGACACARCCTGGAGTTTGGGGCCATTCCTTGATTTTTTAAAAGCTATAAAGTGTTTATAGAGTCATGGAGTGGTTTGGGTTGGAAGGGACCTTAAAGCCCATCCAGTTCCACCCCGGGACTGGGACATCTTCCCCAACCCAGCCTTGGACACGTCCAGAGATGGAGCACCCACCACCCCTCCAGGTAACCAGATTTCTGTTTCAATGCATTTACTTAAACCCTTACTCAATGCTTGGACAATTCCAGAATCATTTTTAGCAGAATATTCCATGTTTCAGCTTCCTGTGTTTGTCCCGTCCTTGTGTCCAACAGAAGGCCCCAGGAAAGTGGGCAGGGAGCCCTGCCAGCAAGGGCCTTGTCYTCCCAGCTGGATTAAATGCTGGAATATTCCAGAAATGCTGGGAAAGGCCCTTGTGAGCTCTCTGACCAGCACTGCCTCACCCGGAGAGCACRGCTCCGTTCACATTCATTAAAACCCCTTCCGCAGATATTTATCAAAAGCTACAAACCCTAATTGGATGTTTGTGCTGGCGGCCTCGTGGCCCCCAGAGAGCAAACTGAAGGATGTTGGTTATTACCATGTGAGCATAGGGGAAGGAGAATAAATCCATTTACCTGAATATTTGCCTCCTTTATTTCTTCTGACAAAGCAAACGGTCAGCAGCAGCAGGGTGAGCAGGGCGATGGCGCACATCAGCCCGATGAACCAGCCCTGGGTGGAAATCCCATCRTAAATGCCAGCATAGGCTTGGGGAAACGGGACAGGAGGAAAAAAAGGGAGAGAATTAACCAGAGGAAAAGGGTAATGCTCTGTGATAACACCAACACATCCTCGCTGCATCGGAACGGAATCATCGCCACTGCTGGTGGGCAGTGCCAGGCAGGAGCGTGTCCAGAGTTGGACATTTGGGGCTGGAGGGGAGCGTGCAGGTGACAGGGCACGACACAGACAGTGGGAAAGGTGGCTCTGAGAGAGCAGGGACTCACAGCATTAGCACTGCACACAAAAGCTGAGCAGAGKGTTGTTGTTAAGCCTCTCATGCAAAAGCGGTTTTGCGAAAGAGACAGAGATAAAAGTGCCCCCAGTACATGCAAATCACCAAACTGGTCATTTATGGATTTTATCCAGCTTCCCTCTTAAATTTGTAAAGGTTTGTGATTGTTCCAGGCTGTTGTGACGCACAGGACTCAGCCAAGAACCTGGGATGTGTTTGTGCTCCCATGGACTCAACTGCAAGGGCCACCTTCAACCCCTTGGCCAGTTCGGGATGCTGGCACCGCACAGGACGAAACCTTGACATGGATTCACACAGAAAAACAAACCTCAAAGGGCTTGGCGTCTCACCTCTCCCCCTGGTCTCAATTACATCTTCAAAAATGCTATTGTTATCCACCCAGTTCTTAGTGACCAGGCGCACTGTGTGCTCAGTGCCAGCCTCGAGGGCCTCGCTGGGCTGAAACTTTTGGGTGGGCTTTACTGCGGCTGCSATCCTCCCGCTGCCTTTACCTAGGGAATGCACACATTCAGGTCACGGGGATCGAAGGAATTCATGGAACAACAGGGCTGCGAAATGCACGGTTACAAATACAACAAGTCATTTTTAAACATTCGTCATCAGGCAAGCTGGTTTTCCAAAGAAAATTAAAAAAAAAAAAACCAAAACCCAAACATTCCCTCTGTTTGGTTTTTAATGTTTCATCCAACAAAATCAACGGCAGACTGGAGTAATCCCGATGTTTGGGAAGCGGTTTGTGCAACTCCCAGGATGAAAGTTAATATTGATGGGGGATTATGGATCTGCTTTAACTAATGCGTGCTTAAAAAATTACAACTTGCAAACGGGCTGGCTTTGTATGGATAATCGGGGTTTGATGGCTCTCCCATTGAACCCAGCTCAGCGGGGAAGCACAGACAGCTTGTTAGCTGGATATGAATTCTTGCTGTCTCCCAGAAAAAAATTAACATCGGGATTTGTACTCTCTCCCCTCCAGACAGTGATTTTCCATATCCTTTTGAATTCCAAAATGCCTGCACAGAGCACTGGTTTTGGTACAACTGAACAATTTGCCTGTGAATGGATATTTAGGCTTTTAAGTGTTGCTGATGAGTTTAATATTTGGTCAGGAGAAAGGAAATTCCAGTAACTCTAGGTTTGGAACCTTGTTAYTTGCAAAACACCCACCTGTCTACATACAGGGGCATTAAATAAGATTTTTTCAGAATAGGTTTTGTGGAAAGCAGAAGAAAGGACATTACAGCAGTTGGCAATCACTGCCTGAACGTGAACAGCCCGTTCAGCAAATTCAGAATTGTGTGGGACATTGAAGGATCTCTTACAACATGGGAGTGACCCTGTTCTCCACGGCAGCAGAGAAACTTGGGGGTCTGCACTTGATAAAAATAATTCTTTAATTATTCTCAGTTGCCTGATTTTCCTGATTTGTCCAAAGCCATCTAAACCAAGGCTTGAGCACAAAGGATAATTTGAAAACTCCTCGGCCAATTAGCGCTGACAGGGAAACAATGCTCATTAATACTTCAACTAGTGAACAAGCAAAGCAAGAAGCTGCTGGAGATTAGGGCTGAGTTGACAGCTGAAGGGAAAAAAAAGAGAAAAGATTAAGATAAATCCAAGCACAGTCAAAGCAGCAGTTCAGGATAAGTTTTTCAAGGCAACTCTCCATGTATTACTGTAAGCAGTTAAATGAGCAGAGCACTGGGACCCAGAGAGAACACATCCAGCTGAAACACTGCTGATACTGAGGCACAGCTCATTAGCATAAATTAATCCAWCTATCGGTAATTTTGGCTAAATGAMGTATGTGAAACMCAGCTATAGTTTTTAATCAAACAGCAAATTAAGCAATGGGATAGCACAGGTACATTTTAATTACACGCTCTAAAATCAAGGTATCAGAAAAATGGGAATATTGCCCAGAAAGTAACAGGAATGAACACGGACCTTCGACCCCAATATGTTAAATAAAACGTAACACTCGAGTGTGACATGATAACCCCATGATCCAAAGTGTTCACACCACCAGCCTCCTCAGCAAGGATTTCTCCTCAATTCCTGGGAAGCAAATCCTAAACCTTGAGCTCCAGGTACAGGGTTTGTTGTGCGAATTCTTAAACCAACTTTACCAGTCTCTCTCTGCTCCCTATTTATTGTGGCAGCTTCTGCTTTCTGAACCATCAGCTCTTTAGGGAAGTGGAAAAGGGAAGTGAGATGGCTGGAAAATGCCCTTTTTGTGCCCAGTTATTGCTCTGATCTATCTGAATGCTGCAGCCCTGGCACATGGGATGAACATCCCGGGATGAGGATGAGCCCAGCCTGACCTGGTACTGTGGATGCACCAACAGCTCTCGGTGCTGTTTTTCACCCCCTATCCCAAAACACTCATTTTTATCCCTTTAAAACTCAGAGCAGGTGTCTATTTCTGGGTGATTCTGAGCTTTCTTTCCATGCCATTTCCTCCTGCTCTGTGGGACAACCTCAACACGGGCCCTACAGAGCAGAAATCTGCGCTAACCGGGGTGGGTTTGGTGGCTGGAATAGAAATAACAGCGTGGCATCTTGAAAAATAAAAACAAAGACACACAGATGGGGAAAACCTCCACATTCTGAAAGGCCAGCAACACACTGAGAGCTGCAGGAAGTAACTCTGGAAAATTGTGAGCAGTTGGGTTGGGTTTTTAATCTCCAATGAGGGAGAGGGAGCATTAGTAATAAAGGCATATCACCAGCACTTCTCATCTTCCCCCACTATTCATCAGCCCCACCGTGGGACTTGCATGAACATTAAACACTGAACTGCAATTTCACAAAATTCCTACTGGGCTCYGAGATTTATGAGGAGAACAGAGCACACATTTTTTAGAGGAGCTTATGGTATAAAGGGAAAAAAAACAATAGAAACCACCCTGAAAGACTTCCAGAGTGTTCTCCGAAAGTTGGCAAATCTGTTATAAAATATACTTACATTTTAAAAAACCCCAAACCCAACAGTCTGAGAGCTAAACACTAATTGTAGGCAGCATCTTAATTTATAACCATACCTGTCTAAATACATCTGCTTCAATAAATGGAAAGTTGCACTTGCATTAATTTTCGCCTGCTGCCTGGCTATTAAAAATGTATAAATATGCATCACAAGTATCCTTCATTTCCAGGGCTTTTTTAGTGCAGGAGGCAATTCATGGCAAATTGGGATTATTTTAAACTACAGAGATTAGTAAATCTCTGTTGTATGTAAAGTTTATAGAGAAAAATTTAGAGGTGAGGCAGTGATCAAGAAATTTCCACCAATTTCATGAGTTTTTCTTGATTGTGAGCAAAGAGGCTTTGCTGGTTACGTATGGGAAAGACATTTTATTGCTCTTTTTCCACAGTGCCTATGGCCAAAGAGACCTAAACCCACAAATCTTATTCCAAGTGGTTACTCTGGTCCTGAAGGATAGGACCCTCTCCCTAAGATTTTTTTGGAAAACCTTTGGGAATTACTGCCGTTGGAATAGAATGAAACTGGTGGGGTTTTATTTCCTGGCTTCTCTGGAAAATAAACCTCCAACTCTGTGGCTTCATCTGGAAGAATTTCTCATTAATGCCTGAGTTTCTGGACACACAAAGATAATTCTCACCATGTAATACATGGTTGGTAATCCCCGAGCAACGCTGGCGACGAGATGAAAAGGAGCTTTGTGTTAAAGAAGGGCTGCTACATTAAATTAATCTTTTCACGTCTGTAAGAATGTTATTTTGTGTTATGTTTCTGAGGGCTAATGATCTTGGGGAAATTGACATTTTCAAGGGGAAAATTAATTAGTTTGGAGGTCATTTAGGAAATAAGGCCTGAAAATATGAAGACAGGGATTGTAGTMATTTTCTAAAGACAACATCCCTTCTTCTGTGGACTGAAACCACAGAAATTAAACTACTCTTTATTTTGTACTACAATCCAAATTCCCTTTTGCTCAGGTTCTTCATGACTGTCCAGAGTATTTTATCAAGGTAAAGATCTCAGATTGCCTATCAGGGTTTGATATCCGAGTTATTTTCTCTTTACAGGTTTGTTTTGGGTGTTGCCACACAAATCCTCACACACGTACATATTAAATAAAGAGATTTCCCTTTTCTTCCTAATTCCAGATAAGAGTAGCAAGGATAACTACAAATAAATTAAGGTTACAGCAGTGGTGGAGATCAAGTTAAAATAAAAAGTGAATGAATTCAGAGCTGCCACCTCAATATCTGCACCTTCCTGGCAGAATGAATTGTGAMATTCTGAAATACCCATGGCAAAGGCTGTATGGCAGCAGTGGAAGTTTCTKAAGTCTTAAAGTGGACAATGAGAGYTTTATGGSTTTRTTATTAAACTGGAACAGAGTGGTTATAGAATCACTGAATCAAACCCCAAAGTACTGTGGAGTGCTCCATCACGGAGTTTCATTTCAGAGGGCACCACGTTTTATATCTGTCATTTACGTGGGTCATTCGAAATGATAAACTTTGACTCCTGAAATCACTCCCCTCCTTCAAAAAGAGAGATTGTTTTAATTTTGAGCAATTGCCTCGCTCCCCAAACCACAGCTCGAAACCCCAAGAAGGTCACTGAAAAAGAATGATTTTATTTTTTTTTTCCCCAGCCTATCATGTTTAGGTGAAAAATACCAGAACAATTTAGCCAGCAAATAATGATACAGAACTCTAACAGCATCTCAGTGACAGATGCAGTGCCCTAATTTAGGGTGGCTTGAGAACCAGCAAGGAGCACACATGAATCACAGAACTGAACCCTTGCAGCTTTCATTAATTATACTGCTCTAGCCCAAGAATATTCCACAGGAATCAGGAGCTGCCCCTGCTGAGAGTTTAGGAAAGTACAGAATCAGAACAAAATGAATGTCAGCATCTCATAAACCCTGACAGGGTTATTCCAAGAAGTTACAAACTTTCAAGGAGCCAAAACACATTATTCTGGCTGCCCAGTGAAGGCCAGAAAAGGTAATTAATGAGGGGAAATGGGGTGTTCTTAGCTTGGGGRAAAAAAGAGGTATTTTTCTTTCCTTAATGAAAATTAAATTTTAAACCATGGTGATCACTAGTTATTACTAGGTGAGTACCTGTATCCTACAGTGGGACTGGAGAGCTGAGGAGGACTTTTACAAGTGGGAAAAAAAAATGGCAGCTCCTGACTGGATCTCGAACTGGGACATGATGGCTTAAAACACTTTTCACATGTTTTTACCAGTATCTGAAGAGAATTCTGCAACTCAGAAATCCAACAGCACACAAACCATTTTTCTATTTCATATCAACATTGCTCCAGACTGTTATCTTTGCTAAAAACGATGCAGGCAGGACTCTTTTGCTTATCACATTCTCTTTCTCCTTCCCTGGGGTAAGAGCACAGCAATGGTTTCTGATTAATAGCAAGGAGCTGCTCCTCAGTATTGCAGAGCTCTCAGACTTGCTGAGCACAGTACATTTTATTTCATTCCAGCTGAAAGTGAAAGATGAGCTATCACAGAGTGCTTGGGATTTTCCTTTAAATCACTGCACATCAGTGTTCCAGCACAGGGTGTAAGTGGCACACAAATGTTCACTGCTGGTCTCTGATAAAATAATCATAAATAATGGAGTGAATGCAGTCAGAACTTCATGTTTATCTGGATTTTCCATGTCAAACAGCTGACCTCGATGTTGCTGGCAGTCCCCTACCTTCACGCACGGGCAGAATTTGTTTTTATAATATTACTGAGAACAGATTATCTGCATCTTCCATTTTCTGTCCGTGCCTGAATGCAGTTCACTCACTCCAGCATGGCTGGGTGGGAGCAGAAACAGGACTGCACAGCAAAACGAGACAGATGAGCCCTGCCTTCCTGCAGAACTGCACGGCCACATTCTTGCTCTCACGGCAAGAAAACAAATTTATTTCCCCTAATTACAAAGGAAACATCAAGCCTGGATTATTCCCGACAGATTTTCCTGCGACTGGCAGAGCCAAACCAGATGGTGTGAACTTACTGCCTTCAGCCAGTGTCTGTCCCTCGTCGGTGGCCGCCTTCCCGCAGCCCTTGGCTGTGCAAGCTTTGATGTAGAATTTGTATTTGGTGCTGGGGCTGAGCCCCGCCAGCCKCCAGCTCTGCACAGACACGTTGGCCACGCTCACGTCGCTCACCGCGCCCACCTCCTGCGTGGCRTTGACTGGGGGGAGAGAATTCAGTCAGAGCTGCGGGAAACAGGACCGTGGATTCATGGAATCATGGAAAAACTGAATCACAGGGTTGTGGAATCATGGAATCACAAAGAGCCACAGGACCATGGAATTACAGAATCATGGAAATATTGAATCATTGGGTCATGGAAACATGGAATTACAAAGAGCCACAGAACCATGGAATCACGGAATCATGGAAAAACTGAATCACACGGTCGTGAAATCACAGAGTCATAGAATCACAGAGTCATGGAGTCACAGAGTCATGGAAAAGCTGAATCACAGGGATAATGGAATCACAGAATCATGGAATCACAAGGTCACGGAATCACAGAATCACAGAATCAGAGAATAACTGAATCACAGAGTTGTGTAGTCACAGAATAATTGAATCACAGGGTCACAGAACCACGGAATCACAGAATCACAAAAAAACTGAATCACAGAGTCACTGAATCACAGAATAATTGAGTCACAGAGTCACTGAATCACAAAGTTCAGGAAGTCACAGAGTCACGGAATCACAGGGTCAGAATCACAGAATAATTGAATCACAGTCACAGAGTCACAGAGTAACGGAATCACAGAATCATGGAATCACAGAGCCGCAGAATCCCAGAATCACTCAATCACAGAATCACAGGATAAACTGGGTTGGAAACGACCTTGGAGATCATCAAGTCCAACCCATGACCCAGCACCACCTCAATCAACCAAACCACAGCACCGAGTGCCACATCCAGGCTTTGTTTAACACCTCCAAGGACAGTGACTCCACCACCTCCCTGGACCCAATCTCTCTTTCTATGAAGAATTTTTTTCCTGAAGTCCTGCCTAAACTTCCCCTGGAGCAGCTTAAGGCTTTGTCCTCTCATTCTGTCGCTGTTCCCTGGGAGAAGAGCCCAATCCCCACCTGGCTGTACCCTCCCTTCCAAGGGGTTGGAGAGAGTGAGAAGGTCCTCCTGAGCCTCCTTTTCTCCAGGCTAAACAACCCCATCTCCCTCAGCCGTTCTCCACAAGGCTGGTGCTCCAGGCCCTTCAGCAGCCTTGTCCTGCACTGCCAGGGGAGAGCATTCAGCAGGGAGTGGGATGGAAGAAGGATGGGTGAGTGGATCTCCACTCCTGCCAGGGATTTAATGGGATTGATCCCCTCTGTGTCCTTCAGAGCACAGCAGGCACGTACTTATCTGGTACTGCAGGATGTAGCCAGTCAGGTGGCCRTTGGCTCTCTTGGGAAGGCCCCAGGACAGGGTGACCGAGTCCTTGTCGAAGTTCAGGATCCTGAGAAAACGTGGCTGCTCAGGGACTGGAAGACAAGGCAGGAGCTTTCAGAGGAGAGTGAACAGCTCTGTCCCTACAAACACTCGTTAAATGAGGATAAAATTTAACACCCACAGCTCTCCTTTCAAGTGAAGGGTTCTGTAAACAGCAGAGATTTTACAGCTACCTTAAATAGGGGAATCAACTCATCCCAAGGACAATTTCAATGTGGATCCCTCCATCCCATACTCTCCTCATGCCTCACCTCCTTCTGGAGTCTCAAACACCACAGGGGAGCTCTCAGGGCCGTCTCCTCTGGAATTAAAAGCCAGAACCGTCAGGCGGAATTCACTGAAGGGCTCCAGGCCAGGAATCATCCCGTAGTTCCTGTCCCCTACAAACGTCAGGAAGTGTTTCTCGGGGTGATGCCTCTTTCCATCCAGCATGCTTTTGGTTTTCCACCAGCTGACCTGCATGGACATTGAGATTTTTGTTAACAAATTACGTTGTCTGGGGCTGAACGTGATCATGATCTCTCTTACCTTCCCAGAAATGAGAGATTCTAATCTGGGATTCATTTAGGGGTTTATTCAACCACACACAAATATTTATAGAGAATTTGTAACCTTGTAGCCTCTTAAGTGYCCACGGACTCTGTCCCTCGGGATGCCAAGCCAGAAGACTTCGACCAGGGTGCTGTTCACAACCTCCACTGACACACCCGAAGGGGCAGCATCTGGAACTGTAAAAACAAAAATTCCAGCGGTTAAAGACACTTCCACGAGCCCAGATTCTCCCAGCTCCCAGCTCCATGCCTTGGCTTTCCAGCTCAAGCTGTRCCACTTCATGCAGTCTCACTGCAAGCCAGGAAAAAGCCATTMCACCTGCATCCAGTGGATGGAATGGGCCAATAAATATTATTTTTCTGTACCAGGGTTTTCTGCTGAGGGTTGGGATACATGTGCACTGRGACACATGAATTTCTACATCAGTATTTATGATTTCCTGTTTCAAGCAATGCTTACAGCAGTGAGAAGAATAAAAAAATGATTAACACRGCACTCAAGAAGGCAATCATAAAGTTTTTTTTATAATCAATTTCATTTTACAACTAAGCTCATTAAACAGTAGGATTTTAATCACTGCATTAACGTAGAGAGCTGTTACAGGGCCTGAAAAAAAAGCAGGCCTTGATCCATTGACAACTGAAATTCAAGGAAAATTTTCCACTGATAAAATTAGACTCATCAGAGAYGGATAGAGAAAAGAAACATGCTGTGGAGTTCCTTTCTTCTTGTACCCGCTAGTCACCAGCTCTTCTGCACCAAGAAACCTTCCTGTTCCCATCTTGGGGTGTGCAGTGGGGATTGACCACCACCAAGTCCATTTCAGGCACTGAAACTCCAGCTGGGAGCCATGGAAAACCATGGGAAAAAAAACAGAAACCAGGCTGGAGAAGGTGACACATTCTTCAAGGACTCATAGACCAGGTACCACCAGCACACAACCCTGGTGGTGTGATTTAAACCCTGTGATTTAAACACATGGGCATGTGGCATTGCCTGCACATTCACTTACACACCCAGTGCCTGCCAGTTTGTCCCCAGTTGTCAGAGCATTTAAATTCTGGCAGGGTTAAACTGCTGGGTCAAACCTCAGAGAACCAAAACGTTTTTTTCTCACCAAGCACAACACGACTGCCACGCTTCAGAGCCTTCTCACGGGCTGTGGCCTTCCAACAAGCACCCAGATGAGGCCAACAACTGAGATTAATGAGAGCACAAGTGACCTTTCCAAAAAAAAAAAACCCCACACTCGGGCAGGCTGGCATCCAGACACCCAGCACGGGTCATGGCCACACCTCACAGAGCCCATCAGGCCGAGCACTGGAATTTCTGCAGCTCTGAGCTGCCTCATCCATCACTCCACACCCGGAGCTTTGCAGCACGAGAAAACCCCATTTTCACTGTGAATTTCCTGCTACTCACAGTCCTCTCCTGAGTATCCAATGGTGATGTTTGGCTCGGGGCCAGCCCCCAGGTTATTGACCGCCTGCACCTTGATCTCGTAAGGCACGAAGGTGGGAACGTTGCGCACGCTCAGCGAGTGTTTCTTCACCAGCTCCTCGTTCCAGTCCGTCTCCACGCCACGCTGCCTCCAGCTGACTTTGTACTCCAGCCCYGGCCCGTTCCTCTCCACAGGCTTCAGGGGCTGGGAAAAGTGAAAAGAGATCCTGTCTGATTTGTTTTAATCGTGAAACAGCAGCTGAGAGGAGAGGGGATAATTATGAAATGGGCAATACAACGCCGGGAGAGAAAAGGGGCAAAAAACCCCCGAGCTTTCTGCTGTTACTTTTATTTCAAGACAACTGGAATAACAACACTGTGACCTCAAGAGACAAGAGGGTGAAAAGCTCAGATTAAAATCCAGATTAATTGCTGGGAGCTGTATTTCTGCATCCCACATACATCAGGTTTTGTTTTGCCACAGGTTTTGCTGTGCGATGTAAAACCACACACCTTCAGCACAACGGAACTGCACATTTTGGCATAAGGATGTGTGCGCCTTTTAGCAGAGATAAAATTTGCATTTTATCTTAGAATTTTATGCAGCGCAGCAAGTTGGGTCATTAAAATTTAGATTTGTTCTAACTACACACCAAATGGTTGAAATTATGCCTGGACATTTAATGTGCAACTGCTGGGCCGCTCTGGTTTCACCAATCAGCTGAAGAACTCACCCCAGCAGGGTTTCCAGCTAATTAACATGAATTTATAAAATATTAGGAGGTGTATGGCAATAGCTTGTCAGGAGACATCCTCCAGTTGAGTTGATTTCTCTGAAAATGAACCRCTTTAATTAATAAAATTAAATATTACTACCCAAAAATGCTGAGGGTCGTTCCAGTCCACTGAAACAGCTGGGGGTGTTCCCCACCATATATTCTGCTTTTAATAGTATTTAAATATATGCAAATATTAAATGTGCAATAGCTGGTTTGCATCCAAGAGGTCTGATAGAAAATGGCATCAAATTCCAGCAGAAAGTGATGCCCCCCTGATGCTCCTCATGCACGGGGAGACCAAAATCTGGGGGATCTGCAAGAATTGCCACTGATCTGCTCTGCTGTAAGGATCTTTGGGATGACAGAGGCAAAGGAATTGGGAGATTGGGCAGTTTTCTCACAGGCACCACCTCCAGGGCAAAGATTTGCAAGAGAAGCTGGAGAAGTAAAAAAATTCCTACTAAAAAATGACTTCTCGTACAGAGTTAAATTGCAGCACTGCTTGACTCTTTATTTTGATCTCCCTTAAAGCTGCAAATCCTTGGCTGGAAATCCAGTCACTAAAGCTCAGCTGGCCTCTTAATCCAAAATAGGCAGATTAAAATCATTCTGCAGCCTTTGTCTGTCAGAAATAGCAAGTGCAGTGCCCAGTAGCTCCTCTGAAAAGCATGCAGGAAATGCCATAAATAAATGAATATCCTGTTTAACAGCATCCTAATGATTCAACGAGATTTAACAAAGCTTTTCTATCCCATTCTCTCCTTTCAGGCTCAGCTTTCAGTTCCAGTTTTGCCCCGTCTGAGCGGTGATTATGAACTTGTGGGTGCTCAAAGAAGTGTTGGCCATCCCAGTATTTCCCAGTAACCAGACTGGGTACTAAAACTGCATTTCATTGATGCATCAAAACTGGAAAAGAGCCCCAAGGTCATCAAGTTCAACCTTTTTGAGAGGATAAAAAAACTTTTCTTTCTCCCCTGACCCTGGGCTAAAAATCCCCTTCAAATCCAAGTCTGTGGATCTTGAGGGACATCTTCTTTTGGACACAATTAAATCTCAAACTCGGCATCCCCAATGGGGAAACGTTTGTTGTTCTTCACTGGGAACAGCAGATTGAAGGGTAAATCTCATGCAAATCATTTGTAACTCCAGCCCCAACAAAACCCTGCTTCCTGAAGGAATGYACAACTCAACTCTTGGCACAGAAGCTCGAGGCTTAAAAGCCAGGAAATTTGAAGTCTGGGAGCCATCCTCAAGACTTTTACATAATTCCTTTGATGCACATCACAGGCTTTGGAGGTTTATCCACATGTCTTTAGTTCTCGGAGTAAAAATTCAAGCTCACGTCCTCTCGGACAAGGGATCTGCAGCATTTTTAAACTTCCAGGCTGGAAGGGCAGAAGGCATGAGCAGGAGTGTTTAGGGCAGCATCCCCTCCCTGGGCCTGGCTGATAATTTTAATTGCAGAGCAGGGTGAGATCACCATTGTTTGAAGCAGTTTCTTGCATTCAAGAAGCAGAGAAGAGCAAATTTTGGGGAATTCTCACTCTGCTTTACAGGACTTCTGTATTTTTTTAACATCATAAAAACCACTCTTCTGAAACCAAAATGATACCGGGGGTAAAAATCCAGAATACATTTAAGTCAAATTCACTTTTCAGAAGAGTAAAGGATCATYCCTATAGGATTTGCTAATATTCTCTTACCTCCCATTTCATCACCATTTCATTGGGTTCAGAAGCTTCGACTCGGATGTTCTCTGGGTTTTTATCTGGAGCTGAAACCACACAGGTGACAAGGTCAGTTTGCACATCCCAAGTTTTATTTAGCATTTAAATGCCAAAAAGGATGTGAAATTCCCCTATTAGTGACAGACACTTCAACAAAAAAAAAACATCCATGAGATGAATTCCTTGGATCAGCAAAGCTGACAGGATCCAAACACGTCATTTATGCAGTTTGGATTCCTAAGTGCCCCAGTTGGCTGAAGCCAGAAGCTCACAGGAAACTGTGACTTTTTGGGTTTGAAAGCACCAGATGTAGGGGGATTATGAGGAAGAGATTTTTCTCCCCGTGGGGATAGCAGACAGAAGGTGCATCATTAGAGRGATGCACGCAGCTGAAAAGCTGAAGAAGGACCTGAAATTGGAGCAAATGGGGAAAAAAAGGGAGAAAAATGCCAAGGAATGCAAATGCTGTGCTGAACAGTTGGCCTCTAAGACGACTTTCACGGAGATTACATTTTCTGAACACTCAGTAAATTGAGATTTTTGACAAGTTTAGTGCTTCTGAAAGGCTCCCAGTAAATCCAGCCCTTCTCCAGGAGTTTCTCACCCATGAAGAGCTGCAAAGGGTGGAAAATCAGCAGAATGGGGTGCTGGAGGTACCCTGATAGGAAAACCCAGCAGCGTGAGCTCCTCCCTTTGGAGGAAAATCCTGGTTTGGAAAATCCTCTGGAATTTTCTGCAGCACAGCAAGTCGGGTCATTAAAATTTAGTTTTTTTTCTAACAGCACATCAAATGCTCAAAACAACTCCTGGACATTCRATGTGCAACTGCTGGGCTGCTCTTTTTAACCAGACACTGAAGAATTTACCCCAGCAGGGCTCCCATCTCATTAATATCTTATAATATCAGAATATGGCTTGGCACAAAACATCCTCCAGCTGGTTTTATCTCTCTGAAAATGCACTGCTTTAATTAATACAGTCCATTTCAGCGATTACCTGCCCCAYCAAAATTGTTGGGGGTTATTCCAGCCCACAGAACCAGCTGGGGATGTTTCCCACCACAGGAGTTTTTACTCAAAAATAATAAATACCTTTAATATTTAGTTAATAAATAATATTGTATTATTATTATTAAATAATATTAAATATTTAATCAATAAATAATATTAAATACATCCAATAATCCCTGGGGCTGCCAAGCAGCAGAAGCAACCCTGAATTCTTCACATCCTCTGGAGCACAGAAAGGCACAAATATTCCCCAAAAAAACCCTAAAAATGCTATTTTTGAGCAGAATTTTTGCAGGTTTACCAGCTGGAGGGGTTGCATAGCGCAGGGATGGTTTGCTGGGTTGGCTCCTGCCCACGGCGTTGACCGACACCACGCGGAACTGGTAATTCACATACGGGGCCAGCGCCAGCACGGCCGTGGTGTCATTCCCYGGCACTCTGCTGAGCTCCTGCCACCTCCCCGGCTCCCAGTGGTTCTCCTCAAACTCTATAATCGACTCTGGGCAGGAAAAGAGACACAAAAACAACAACAAAAAAAAAAAGATTAAAAAAACAGCACGGGTGGAAATGAACTTACAACGAACTCTTGCGGTTAAAGTGGTGAAATCTGGCCGTGAGCAGGGTTCGTGTCCTGAGACAACCAGGACGTGCCAGAATTGTGAACAGCACCAAAAATGATGCTCAAAACTCCTTCCTACCATTAACAGGGCTGTTATGGCTGTCCCCAGCTTTCCAGGAGAGCCGAACGCTCCGGTTTTGGTTTTCCGAGAGCTCGAGGTCTTCTGGTGGCTCAGGAACATCTGAGAAATACAGAAAAAGGCGTCAAGAGTCTATTTTCATAGGGTTGGAATGGCACATGAGTGAACACGGTGTTTCAAGATGGGTAAATGGCGTGAAGCGGGAATTGCTTTGAAAAATCCATTTTCCTACAGAAAACCAAGTTGGATCGTCTGGTGCTCATTTTTCCATATCCTTGTCAAATCCATTTCCAGCCACCCTGCAGCCACAGATTATCTTTTTTTTCCAAATCAGCCTCAAGATCAATTTAATCATTAATGGATTTTGACACTGCCCTGAGCAGGATGTTGTGCCAGCAGCTCTGGGATTTGCCCTGGGACAAACCAGAGTGGGAGAAGGAGGCTCAGCTCTGACAGTTTTGGCTTTTTSGGSTGTGAGTGAAAGGAGAACTGAGATYCATCATCCCATGGGGATCTGCCTTTACAGGGAACTGGGAAATTCACTGCCTGCAGCCCAACTAAGGCTGTCCCAATTAAACTTTTGGCTGACAATGTCAATTCTTACAGGAATTTCACCCCCACGAGGGTCTTTGTCATTGTAAAAGAAATTAATTGAGTTCTGTACTGATCCTTTTAAAATTACAATACTGAGTTATCATCTCAGGTTACATCAAAAAGTTTAAAAGTTTATATTTAGATTTTCTTTCCTTTTCATTGCATTTCTTTCCCTGTTTCTGCAGTGCCTGGGAAAGATCAGGAAATCAGAGTTTCATCCACAAGCATTTTGTTGTTCTATGCTTGAGGCAGAGCTGGTTAAAATTCAATATATTAATTTAAAGATGGTGATGGTGCATCTTAAAGATACTCACCCCTCTACCTGTTCATTAAAATCCAACAAATCCTTATTTTACTCRARCTGAATAYTTATTTTACTCTTAGTTGCCCCTATTCTGATGTCTCCATCTGTGCCATTTTTAGTTCTTCAGTCATCCCACAAGTCTTTGACAAAAACCTGAATTTTTCCCTTGGAAAATGGCAGATATTGCTAATTCACCAAGACCTYTCTCATGTACAATAAACAAGGAAAAAGAGCACAAAACTGTTTTTCTTCYCCTGCAAACCACCTTTTTAAAAAGGAATAAAGTGCCTTATGAAATTTTCATAAGTAAAGTAACGAATAGCYTGCAAACACTTTGAATTATACAGCACTGAAGGACACAGCACCATAAATAATGTGCACAGCATCTTCCTAATTTACTATTTGCTTAAAAATATCACTCCTTTAAAAAGTGCAAAAACATCTTGAAGGGCAGATTGACTTATTTCTCGCTGCAATCATTGCGAGAAATACATAAAAACGTAAAATGAAGTAAAAATTAATGTAATTAAAATGATGCAAAGCTGTCACAGAAYCATGGGATCAGGGAATGGTTTGGGTTGGAAGGGATTTAAAGGTTAATGAATTCCAGTTCCCTGGAAGGGACAGTCCCACCAGCCCAGGCTGGCCAGAACTGAGAGCACAAAGCAGAATTTTGGCTGTTGGCTGCTGTCCTTGGGTGCAAGGGGAATACAGTGCACCCCAAGTTCATCTTCTSCATTTCCAGGGAGGGGTGCAGGCTGTGGGGATGCTCACACCAAGGAGTCAAGGCTTTTTTCTGCTGTGGACTTGCTGAGATTCACTGAGATAAAGAATCTTTTTAGGCTCTTAACTCTCAGTGATCTTCAGAGGAGCTGCACGTCCCAGCACTGCCCTGAGATCCTTCAAMAAAAACCAAATTCTGGTGCAAACCTCCAGGAAAGTGGAGAGAAGGACTGGCCAAGGCTTTCAAAGCAGCAGCAGGGCCATTCTTAACTGCTCTTACACTTTCCAGCCTGGGCAGGTCCTACAGCCCCTGAGCTGAGACAAAAATGTAAAGAGTGTCCCTCTCTACAGAAAAACCAAAATATAATTGGAGTTTGTGTCAGCAGCGCCATTCCCGGGGATAAGGGACAGCACAGCTGAGGCTGAGGAGTGAGAGTCTCTGTGAAATTGGGTTATTGAGGCTCTGTGAGAAGCAAGGAAGGGCTGCAGAGGCAATTCCTGCTGCGAGGAGCTGTTCCTATGGTGAGAAAAAGAATAAAATATATATATACCATCGACCTTACCCAGGACGATGAGCTGCGCCTCGGCCGTGGCCGTGTCCAGAGCGGTGCTGGCCACGCACGAATAAACCCCCTGATCCTCCAGGAGCACACTGCCTATGAACAGAGTGTCCCTGTCCACAACGACCCTGCAGGGCCAAAAATAAATAAAATCAAAAAAGGAAAGAAAAATCTGTAATATTAATAAAACACAGACACGTTGTTCTGTGAAACATTGATCAAAAAAAGAACTTGGCACAGGACATTTTGATTAAATAGTTGCACACACATTTTGATTAAATAAATAGTTGCACACACATTTTTTTTAGATAGTTTGATGAGCCTATCCCATTAAAATGTAATTGTGGCTCTGTTTTACACCATCCTGAGAACAATTGTTAGTATTTTGTGGCAATTCAGCCTCTGTGGCTGGAAGCTGGCCTGTCAATCCTGCTCTGAAAAGAGCCACAGTGATGTGCCCTGGATGAGTGTCTGGGACATGGCATTTTGGCACGTCATTAATGAGACAAATATACGGAATTTTGAAAGGAAAACTGAGCATTCCCAAGGGGATGTGTCATGTCCAAAGCATCAGGGAAGCCTCCATGAACCCAAGGACATTGGCCCTGTGGCACACACAGCATTTCCTTGGCACTGCCCACCATCCCAGGAGGGCTCAGCAGGGTTTTCAGCCTCCCCAACACTGCAGGATTTAAAAAACCATTTCTGTCCTGTGGTAATTAATAAAGATATCTTATTGAACACTCTGGGACCTGTCCCATGGAATAAAGGCAGAGCTCCATCCCCTTAATGCCAAKGGAAACCCAAAAACGGGACAAAATTCAGCCTGGACCTGCAAATCCTAAACTATGCAGGAAAAACTCCTTGCTTTTACCTATAGGATTTTAGGCAGAATCTCTGAAATCTGTTTTCCATTGCTTCAACATTGCAAAGACTTTGTTTTGGCCAAATAAGTACAAATTACAGGAAAACACTGGTTCCACTGAAGTGGAGTAACAATCTCCCAGTTCACTGCACTGGGGCAGGGTTGTGTTTTTGGGTTGGGACAACATTTCTATTATATATATTTTTAAAAAGAGTATTTTATATATATGGATTGATAGGTATATTTATATTTCTATATTTATATTGTAAATATATATAAATATGTATATGTATTAYATATACATTCTRTATWAATATGTATAGTATTTTGTATRTATATATATRTATATAAATTTATAACTTTATATTCTGCTGTGATGGTGAGAGAATTAATAAACCCCAAACCCATTTGGCTCCAAACTCAGAGCTGCATTTCCATTTAGATGTGTGTAAAATGCAGATCTCCTCACACACCACACGAAGAATTCAGTGCAGACACMAATTTGCATTTCAAGCCATTAAAGCTCATGTTTAATGAAACTCCTGCTCCAGCCCCTCACCAGATTATCCAGCTGAGATCAAGGGCAGCCCCACTCACCTGCCTCCTCCCGTGCTGTTGACTGGCAGCTCATCTCCATCCTTCCTCCAGGATAATTTAAAAGTGTGTTTCAAGTGGGAATCATACTCAGCCTGGCATTTCAGTAAAACGGAATGYGATTTCAGCACTCGGGGGTTCTTCGGAGTAACAACAAGAGTTGTGGCGTCTGATTGATCACAGAAAAACACTTTGATTAGCAGAGAGAGGGGCTATTACAGCAAATTTTCACTGAGCACTTCATCTGTAAAAATCAACCTCAGGAGCACCAATCATATCTTTTTTTTTTTTTTTTTGGTTATGCACACAAACATTTCAAGTGAAGGATGGCAGGGTTTGAAATAGACATTTGCCAGGATTTCATTCTTGCATCCCAAAGCAATTTTTTTGTCTCAAAACGTTTTTTAGTTCCTCCAAACCAAAGTGCTCCAGGAAAAAAAAAAATACAAAAAATCCACCAAAAAAAAAAGTCACAGGTGAAAATCCTTGTTAGCAGCCTGTCATGAAATGGATGATAAAAAAAAAAAAACTTGAATATGATTTTTATGTCTAATTGCCATTTGAAATAAGCTCTGGCAATGACCCAAGAAAAATTACAAGCTTATTAAAGTCAAGTGAGAAAAAATTATTGCAATCAAGTTTGTTCTTTTAATTGACTGTAATCGGAATGCAGAAACAGATGAATAAGTGAGARGAAAGCACTTAGCTGAATTTATTTCTGCAGTGAAACGTTGCTCTGTGAGAATTTCATTGTTCATTTTCATGTTTATTATCACTGTAAAAATTCACAAAGCCAAGGGAGTGGGTGGAAATGGAACACAAAAGAGTGGGCTTTTGCCTCAAGTTTGTCACAGCAAACCTACATCAGACAGCGCTTTAGAGAACTTTGCTAATTGAGTATTTAAGGGTTTTTGTTTTTTTTTTTTCATTGGCAAGCCCTAAATCCCAATAAATTTGTAAAAAAAAAAACCCACTAAATGCAACCTGGCGCCTCAACAGGAGCTGCCCACTGCCATCAAACCCTTCAGGGAAAACCCCTCCTGCGATCCAAGAAATCCCTTAAAACAGAGCTGGAACACAAGGGATGGACCTAAAACTTAAAATAAACACATCTGAGCAATTTTTTTTTTTCTCTCTTTACAAATATTTATCAAAAATCCGGCCCAGTGCAAAGTCCTTAAACCAGCAGACCCCTGCAAAGGGCTGGGTGTCCTTCATGGGGGTGAATCCAGTTTGGGATGTGATGAACAGACGGGAGGAGCTCCAGGGCAGGGGGGATCCCACTACACAGGGGGAAGCAGGAGCACATCTGGCTCAGCCCAGACCCACATCTGGACCCCACCAAGCCCAGGAGCACAGGGAGGGCCCCCAAGGTCCAGCCAAGAACCTGCCCTGAGAGTAATAGGGCAAAAAAAGAGGGGAAATCCTTTCAAGACCATGGAGTTGATGGGTGTGTAAATCACATATTTTTGGTGGCTTGTGCAGCTTCTGAAAGGGTCAAGAAGAAAGTGAAGAAATCCAGCTGAAAAACTGGGATTATATTAAAGGCTACACATGTATGAGACCTGTGACAATTCCAGCTCATGGCATCCACAGAATTCCTAAATTCACAGAACAAATCTGTAATCTGGCACGAATGTTTACTAATTACGTATTTCCCAAAAAACTGTGTGCATAGAACCTTAGCAGCTGTGATTTTTTTTTTCTGTTCAGAGTGAGACCTCACCCCTTATATCCAGATTAGCAGTGATGGCTCTTTTCCCCACAGAGTTTGCAGCCCAGCAGGCGTAGGATCCYGAATCCTCCTTCCTCGTGTCCTTGATCTCCAGCGTGCCATTRCTGTTTAATTTGTAGCGGAATGTGGAGAGGGGCTCTATGCTGTCATCCTTCGTCCTAAAGGTGACAAAAAYGGGTCTGGGTTACTGCAGGAAGTGTTATTTCATGGTTAGGGGTTATTGCAGGGCAGTTTGGGGACCCAGCTCTGCCCCTGAGCAATTCATGTCASCATTAGTGGGACAATTTATCCACGTGAAGCAAATCATAAAGGGACCTCAGAGTCCTGCACACCAAACCCACGGGGACAGAGTCCAAAAAAGGTCTCTAAAATACTCTGTCCTTAATCTATAGCTGTCACCTGCAATTTTATTGCACCTGTCAGCTGCCCTGACAATCCTGTGATTTGCAGCCCTGTGGAACCGTGTCCAGGGGAATGTGATCTGTAAGTCACTGTGTCTCCACCTCAGTAATGTGTCCAAACTGGAATTGTTGCCAAAATTAAACRGAGTTTGATGAAGCTGCAGCAGGATTTGGCTGCATTCAGCATGGCTTTGCTTTATGCACAGCCTGGCAAATGTCTCACACAGGTGTTGGGGACTGCCAAGAACTCTTTTTTTTTTACAAACCAGACCTTCAGAAATCTTAAGAGTGCACATAAAACGTGAAAACTTACAGTGTGTACAGCGTTGTTACAGATTTCTATTCTTCACTCCATAGAAATAACAACTAGCAGACYTTTCAGTCTTGAGGGAGCCTGTAGGAACTTTTTTAATGTTAAAATATTAAATTTCCGGTATCTTACCATCTGACATCTGCTTCAGGTGAGGCGAAGATGTCACAGTGCAGGAAGGCGCTGTAACCCACGACTGTGGCGTAGTTCTCCCCGTCTGAGGTCAGAATGAGGGGAGCAATATCTGCAGGAGAGAGTGAGAAATAAACACCAGCCCTTCCTTACCCCCTTTTCCAGCAAGGATGGRAGGCTGAGGTGTTTAATGGCAATTTCACAGCGCTTTGGAAGCAGCAGCTGAGCCCTCACAAGGTTCACTGGCAGAGATAACAGGGGATTGCTGCTGGACACGTCAGAAATTGAAACATCAGTGTGCTCCAGGACAGAAAGCAGAGCCTCTTCTGCTGCCTTTTTTTTTTCTTTTTTTTCTGTTAAATAAATTCCCATCACTTCCTTTCTTCAAAGGAGAGACTGAGCATGGCAACTGAAATTAGAGATTAACAATAAACTTAAAAATTCAAAACCAGGGTTGTGGTCACAGTGCAGTCCCCAGTGGTTTCACTACATTTGAAGTTTTTGAGTCCAATCAAAACCATGTTTTTAAAACACAGAAAATATCAAAGCTCAGGAGTGTCTGTGCTAAGCACATAATATTGTCCATGATAAAACCTGTTGCATTAACTTGGAAAATATTTCTTAAAATCTGGGGCAAACTCAGAGGAACTGTGAGATGGTCACAAGCCCCAGGCTGCTCTGAGGATTGAGCCTTGGGGTGTTGGATGTGATCCCTGGGAGGGGACAGCCGGATGGACTTGATGATTTAGGATTTCAGTTTCTCTATTTCCATGTCTCTGTACCCCTGGGATTCTTCAGTGTTTCACTCCAGACTCCACAGACAGTGCTGAGCTCCTGCTCTCCCATTTTTACACAAAACAATTCCTCTGCAGCCCCAAACTCAAGGACACCTCCCTCTGCCAGACCCCAAGAGATGGAAACAAGAGAGAATTGGGGGAGCCAACTTGGAGTCAATGACTGCATTGGCTGAGCTGCAATTGGAGGATTCAGGCCCGATGTGCAAATGGACAAAAGTGAGAAAGGGTGAAAAACCCGTGAGCCATTGTCCATTGTG